GCCTCCCAAAGTGCTGGGATTAGAGGCATAAGCCACTCCGCCCGGCCTCCAAAGCGAGACTCCGTCTCAGAAATAAAATAAAATAAAAAGGGGATCTCAATTTTCAGGAAAAGGACTAAGACAGTATTCTAACTACGAAATAACTGTTATTAATAATCCTCTAAGATAAACCCTAACCCGTCTGTAAAGTTAACCTGAGAGGCAAAACCACTTAACATCTATATTTTCTCTAAATAATTTTGTTTAGCAAGAAGTTAGCTCTTTTGAAGATTAAATATTTGCCAGGCGTTTTACAGACGTTATATCGTTTAATCTTCACTATAGCCCTACTGAGCCTTCATTCATCAATTTACTTAGGGTCCACTTGGGCAGACATGCCCTGCTAACCTCTAAAAATTCAGTAGTGAGCATTATCTGCCTTCCTCAGGCTCAAGCAGCTTAGAGTAGCTACTAAGTATGTCCTCTTTTAAATCAGGAAATGAAAAATCTGCTCTGAGAGGTTAATTTGCTTGTTCAAGGTCACACAGTGTTGAAGCAGCTAGCTACACTAATCAAGGCGTCTCATTTCCAATCTTTTCTGCTCTCAATCATTAGACTGTTAAGATTAGACGGTAAGATTTTTTGAAGAGTTCTTTCCAATTTTTTTCCACCATCTAGGAGAAAACCTCTCACAGTACTGACCAAAGAACAGTGACTAATTCATGCTCTAATTACCAGGCATCTGGAAGACTTCAGGGGAGAGGAGCCAGGTCCCTGGGGGAAGGGGGACTTTTTTTAGGGGGGTGTGTTTTTTTTTCCCCCAAATTCTTCAGTAATATTCAGGAAGGGGAACTTTTTTGAAGGAACGGTAGCAACCCTGACACAAGAGGTGATTAAATTCGGGGCACAAAGCTGGTCCCATGCCAAGGGAAGCAGAGTTTATCTTCTCCACCTTTTCCTTGCTTTCCTCCACTATTTCCAAGGTTGTTTCAAAGATCGACAGTGCAGACCGCGCCATTGGCTCCAAATGACTAGGAAACCTATTTTTATTATCTCCCCCTCTCCCCTACCCCTAAAGGTCTCTTCTGGCCTTCTGACACACTTTTCCACTTCGTCTCCACCCTTAGCGGATAATCTGAAGATCGCCGTTTTATCCTATCGCCATAACGACTAGGTTGCCTTATGGCGACCTTGACAGCCATCCGGGAGGCCGGAGGGGGCGGTCGGCTGTGCTGGGAGAATCTTCAGATGGCCGTGAAGAGGCGCCACGAGGGGGAGGCGACCGCGGAGCTCCACTCAGCGAGGAGTTCTCTGAAAGATTGACAGGTAGCCTACCAACTGTCTTTACCCTAGAGACCCACTCTGTCTCGCGAGATTTAGGTGCTTACGCGAAGTGGGAGTGAAAGGCGCCTCTCTGAATGGGGGATGGGACTGTCTATGGCGCAATCATTGCGCGAGATTGGGCTACAGTCGCCGGAGCTATACTTAGATCTCGCGATACTTCGGCCTCTCCGATTTGCTGCCTGGGGCAGCTTCTCGCGAGAGCCCGTGCTGAGGGCTCTGTGAGGCCCCGTGTGTTTGTGTGTGTGTATGTGTGCTGGTGAATGTGAGTACAGGGAAGCAGCGGCCGCCATTTCGGGGAGCTTGCCGTCACTGTCGCAGGGGTGGATCCTGAGCTGCCGAAGCCGCCGTCCTGCTCTCCCGCGTGGGCTTCTCTAATTCCATTGTTTTTTTTAGATTCGCTCGGGCCTAGCCGTCCTCGGAGCCCGATATTCGGGCTGGGCGGTTCCGCGGCCTGGGCCTAGGGGCTTAACAGTAGCAACAGAAGCGGCAGCGGCGGCGGCGGCGGCGGCAGCAGCAGCAGCGGCAGCAGCAGCAGCAGCAGAAGTCTCTTCCCGAAGACGAGCACCACAGGCGTCCGAAAGCCGGAGCAGGTACAGGGGCGTTGCGGACCCGCGTATTATCCCAGCTTTCTCGAGGTTTGGCTCCCTTTTGGGCTGAGGGGCGCTCTTGGCGGTCTTCAGCGACCGGGGTGAGGGGTGGTTTTCGAGAAATCGGCCCTGTTTTAGTGACCGCGCCCTTATTTTCCGGTCGGGTAGAGTCTGGATTCTTGGGGTGGCAGGGACCTCTGAGAGGCCTCTGTAGATTGGTGACCTGTCTCCTTCGAGGCCTGGGCCGGCCGCGACCTCCCAACATGGCGCCAGTTGAACGCTGCCTTGGCTCATAACCCCTCCCAATGGAGGGAGTTTCCCTTTGCCCCTAAAATGGCAGCGCGGGTTTTTGCACGGAAAGAGGCGCTCTCGTTCGGGTCTCCCAGTTTCTGTTTTTGGAGTTGATCGCAGGGTGTTAAATATTGGACATTGAAGTCTTCATTTTCGTGTCTTTGGTGTAAGAGGCGTCTTGGATTTACTTACATAAGCCAAACCTGGTTAAAGTGCGTGTCAGTTTAGTCATTCATTGTAGGGATTTTGGAGGTTTTTCTTAAGTTTTCCAGTGTGTCGGCTGAGAAAATTCAGTCGATTTGAAAAGCGTTTACCAGGCCGGCCGCGGTGGCTCACGCCTGTAATCGCAGCACTTTGGGAGGTAGAGGCAGGCGGATCACTTGAGGTCAGGAGTTCGAGACCAACCTCATCAACATGGTGAAACCCCGTCTCTATTAAAAATACAAAAATTAGCCGGGTGTGGTGGCAGGCGCCTGTGATCCCAGCTATTCGGGAGGTGAGGTAGGAGGATCGCTTGAACCCGGGAGGCGGAGCTTGCAGTGAGCCGAGATCGCGCCACTGCACTTCAGCCTGGGCAACTAGAGCGAAACTCCGTATCAAAAAAAAAAAGACAAATAAAAATGTTTACTCACCGAATCGTCTTGTTCTTTTCCTAGGCGTTTAGAGAAAATGGCAGACGATATTGATATTGAAGCAATGCTTGAGGCTCCTTACAAGAAGGTGAGAAAAAACATGTCGGTGAGGTTTATAATTTCTTAATTTAGCATTATTCACGAAACTACTGCTGAAATGTAAACTAACCTCCCCGGAGCCCTCTTGATTTATCTTATCAGAGATGCATTACGTGTAACTTACAAAAGTAAATATATGCTATTGATGTAATAATATTGTGCAGTAGTTTCACTTCAGCGTGATGAATAAATGCCCATCTATCTCTCTTTGTAGACTTGCCTAACGATATCTCACCTCTACTCCCATGAATTCACCTTTGATTCCAGTGTGAACTGTCAATCATAAGGTAGTAATTGAGTGACTTATCGCTGTACCGTGGTCCCCTAGGTAAAATGACTCAACTAAGAATTACCAGCTCCAGTTTGGTATAGCAAAAAGGTGAATGTAGTGGTTTGGGAAAAAGCAGGGGTCCAAGAATAAGAAAGCATAACCAGTCTGTGGCAAGTTAAATCTTCTAATAGTCTTATAAGAAGAAATGGGTGAGATTTTAAAATTTATTTATCTATGTAAGACTGGTGATAGTAAATCTTAAACAGTCCAGTGGCAATCTGCTACTCAGTTAATAATTACTAAAATTCTTGGATCCCTGAATAGAAATTAAAAAAAAAAAAAAATACAAGAGGCAGTATCACAGCTTAGAGTCACTTGATAACTGTTTTACTGTTCTCCATATTGTTTTATTTTTAATTAGGCCCTGCCATATAGTATTTCACACTAAAAACAAAGGAATTATTTTGGCTAATGTAGTCTTTGACTCATTTCGGTATCGCAGTAAAAGTAAACTGTCTTTTCATTGTTTCACCAGTTGGTGGTGAAAATAGCAGTATGCATGCATTATCACTGGTGTCACAAACTGTAAGCTTTGTAAGTTAGCACTTTACTCCTATAGCTGATGTAATCAAACTTTAAAATAAACATTTTGCTAAACCTTTTAAAAATAATACATTTGTTTTGGATTGTATAGCACGACCATGTGGTACCAATTTGGATGAATTCTTGATAGATTTAAATAGTGTATGTAATTTTGTAATGCTTAGACTCTTGAAGAGCTACTTTCTGTTTTAATGTTAAGATTCTTGTGTCTTAGTTTTTTAACATGGATGTAATTCCATGTAAACAGGTATGGAAGTAGGAAATGTTTAGGCTGGACTTGGTGGATTATTAATTGACTTTCTTGGGTTCTTGGGAGTCAACATTACTAAAGCAGTGTGAATCCCTGTTTGCTTCAGGGCGAGATGTGTGACAGAGGTGGCATCAAGCTCTTACAGTCCCAACCCTCCAACGGAAATGGGCGAAGATCTCAGGAATGGCATCGGTCACAGGAAATCGATAGTGGCTGGCTGCTAGCATGGCCACTTGGGGCTTAGGCAGAAATAGAGCCATGGTACTGACCAAAGGGACCATAGCACATGGAATAAAACTCAAAACAGGACTTCATGTTTTATGGAAATTATATTTAACCACTTCAACATTGTAAATCTGGATAACTTAATATCTAAACTATATAAGAAAGTAAATTTTAACATGTTAATATGGAAAGATTTTTTTATTTTTGTATCTTGATGACTTAAATGTAAGCAACAAAGTGGTTAAACACATACCCATCTAAATTTTTTTATAGCCTTCCATGTTAAACTTTAAATAAATAATTAGTTTTAAAATTGTTTTGTATTTTCTTATTCCTGTTCCCTTTACCCTTTGACAACTTGAAATGTTACCACTTCGTCCTCATGATGTTCTTCTATCAACCCTGCTTAGGATGAGAACAAGTTGAGCAGTGCCAACGGCCATGAAGAACGTAGCAAAAAGTAAGTTTTAAGAAGGGGCCTGGGGGAGGGTGGTGAACTTTTTTGTGGTTTTAGACCTTAAGTTGTGTTCCTGTGGCTGAAGTATACAAAGTTCTCTTCTGAAACTTTTTTTTGCTGCTTTTAGAGAATTGGTTCTTTGTCTTTTGGGATAAACTCTTGGAGGAACTGTGGATTTTTGCTTAGATTTCAGAATATAGTTTCAGATACCTTCCCCTCCAAGTCCATCATGACAATCTGGTGACAAGTTCTGTAGTAGAGGTTGTCTTGTTTTAAATTTGTTAACTTTGATTTAATATTTGGTTATCTTACTGATAAAACTATTATATCCATTGATCTTAAAAGGGAGAGTTAAATTAGGTGATAACTAGGCCATGGAAAGTATTGTTTGCCCTAAATTGCCAAAGGAGTCAAAGCTGTGAATTATTTCTGCACCTTGCTGCTCAAAGGCCCTTTTGGAAGTGATGCAAGAGAATACTTAAGTACTTCTTAAGGTGGCTTTCATTATCTTAGGCCTTTCAAACTCCAGACTTAACAGGGTGGGGTTTTTGGAAATTATGAATATATCTGTATACTTTATTTGGATAAGATGAGTGACTGTAGAACTTACTATAGTACAGAAAACTGTACGAAAAGTCTTAAGTAACAGATATGACGAGATCCACTTTTTTTTTTTTCTTTTGAGACGGAGTCTTGCTCTGTAGCCCAGGCTGGAGTACAGTGGCACAATTTGGGCTCACTGCAACCTCCGCCTCTTGGGTTCAAGTGATTCTTTGAATTTTTTTTTTTTTCTTTTGAGATGGAGTCTCTCTGTCACCCATGCTGGAGTGCAGTGGTGTGATCTCAGCTCACTGCAGCCACTGCCCCCCGGATTCAAGCGATTCCCCTGCCTCAGCCTCTCATTAGCTGGGACTACAGGTGCACGCCATCACGCCCGGCTAATTTTTTTTGTATTTTTAGTAGAGCTGGGGTTTCACCATGTTAGCCAGGGTGGTCTCGATCTCCTGACCTCTTGATCCTCCCTCTGTAGCCTCCCAAAGTGTTGGGATTACACGCGTGAGCCACTGCGCTCGGCCTTTTTTTTTTTTTTCCGCGATCTCAGCTCACTGCAAGCTTTGCCTCCCGGGTTCATGCCATTCTCCTACCTCAGCCTCCCGAGTAGCTGGGACTACAGGCGCCCACCACCACGCCTGGCTAATTTTTTTGTATTTTTAGTAGAGACCGAGTTTCACTATGTTAGCCAGGATGGTCTTGATCTCTTGATCTCTTGATCCGCCCACTTCGGCCTCCCAAAGTGCTGGAATTATAGACGTGAGCCTTTTTTTTTTTTTTTTTTAAAAAGACATAATCTCGCTCTATTGCCCGGGCTGGTGTGCAGATCGACTCATCACAATCTCCGCCCCCACCTGGGTTTAAAAGGTTCTTCTGCCTCAGCTTCCCAAGTAGCTGGGACTATAGGCGTGTGCCACCATGCCTGGCTGAGTTTTGTATTTTTAGTAGAGACGGGGTTTCACTCTGTTGGCCAGGCTGGTCTCGAACTCTTGACCTCATGATCCGCCTGCTTCGACCTCCCAAAGTGCTGGGATTACAGGGGTGAGCCATCGCACCTGATGCAAGGGATTCTTCTGCCTCAGCCTCCCAAGTAGCTGGGAATACAGGCACGCGCCACCATGCCTGGCTAGTTTTTGTATTTTCAGTAAGAACGGGGTTTCACCATATTGCCCAGGCTGGTCTTGAACTCCTGACCTGGTTACCTGCCTGCCTCGGCTTCCCAGCGTGCTGGGGTTACAGGTGTGAGCCACCCGTGCCCGGCCAAGAGATCTACTTTATAAGGTTGGGTTTTAGCAGTTTTTGAAGTTTCCTTTTAGCTCTGAGGTTAGTGATTCTAAATATGTGGTCATGTTGCAAACATTAAATTGTTTCATTAGTCTATGGTGCCATTTTAAAACATTTTATCCGCCAAGCTGTGGTGGCTCATGGCTGTAATCCCAGCATGTTGGGATGCCGAGGCAGGCAGATCACTTGAGGCCAGGAGTTTGAGACCAGCCTGGCCAACGTGGTGAGACCCTGTCTCTACTGAAAATACAAAAGGTAGCTAAATTGTGGAGGCTCGTGCCTGTAGTCCTGGCTCCCCAGGAGGCTGTGGCAGGATAATTGCTTGAACCCAAGAGGCAGAGGTTGCAATGAGCCAAGGTTGCACCACTGCACTCCAGCCTAGGCCACAGAGTGAGACTCCTTTTTTTTTTTTTTTTTTTGAGACAGAGTCTTGCTCTGTCTCCCAGGCTGGAGTGCAGTGGCGCAGTGTCAGCTCACTGCAAGCTCCGCCTCCCGGGTTCACGCCATTCTCCTGCCTCAGCCTCCCCAGTAACTGGGACTACGGGGGCCTGCTACCATGCCCGGCTAATTTTTTTTGTATTTTTTTAGTAGAGACGGGATTTCACCGTGTTAGCCAGAATGGTCTTGATCTCCTGACCTCGTGATCCGCCCGCCTCAGCCTCCCAAGCCGCTGGGATTACAGGTGCCTGCCACCGTACCTGGCTAATTTTTGTAGTTTTAGTAGAGATGGGGTTTCACCATCCTAGCCAGGCTGGTCTTCAACTCCTGACCTCGTGATCCACCCTCCTCGGCCTGCCAAAGTGCTGGGATCACAGACATGAGCCACCATGCCCAGCCAAGTTTTGTATTTTTAGTAGAGACAGGGTTTCACCATGTTGGCTAGGCTGGTCTTGAACTCCTGACCTCAGTTGATCTACCCGCCTCGGCCTCCCAAAGTGCTGGAATTACAGGCGTGAGCCATGGATCCAGCTGAGACTCCGTCTTAAAAAAAAAAATCTGGGCTGGGCGCAATGGCTCACACATGTAATCCCAGCACTTTGGGAGGCCGAGGCGGGCGGATCACAACGTCAAGAGATCGAGACCATCCTGGCCAACATGGCAAAACCCCGTCTTTACTAAAAGAGACTGCCTGTGGGATTGTACTTGGCTGTCCTCCACGTAGAAGAAGCTAGACCCAGCACTTCGAAATGCTGAGGCAAGGAGATCACCTGAGGTCAGGAATTCGAGACCAGCCTGACCAAAATGGTGAAACCCTGTCTTACTAAAAATACAAAAATTAGCTGAGCATCGTGGTGCACACCTGTAGTCCCAGCTACTTGGGAGGCTGAGGCAGGAGAGTCACTTGAACCTGGGAGGCGGAGGTTGCAGTGAGCCGAGATTGTGCCATTGCACTCCAGCCTGGAGACAGAGCGAGACTCCGTCTCAAACATAAAAATCTGTCATACTTATGACCTTACATAAATGAAAAATGAGAGAAAAATAGCCACTTGATTTCTTTTTGGCTCTTTTCCTCCTAAAATCCCTAAATGCTTCATAGTAAATGCCTCATTCGTTCTCACTACATTGTGTTAGGTAGGTTGATAAAATTTCATAAAATAGATGAGAAAATTTTATATAAGTTTATTCAGTGCTTGCTAAGCCGATATTTTTTTTGTAGTTCCCCTAAAATAATGTGGTAATAGGTTAAAAATGATGTAATTTGTAGAAGACGTCCTCCTCTTTTCTGGTGTAAGCTTGGATGGGAGTCATTTATAGTTCTTCACCAAACACAAGAAATTGTGGGGATCAGATTGGGTTTAGTCTTGATGTGGTCTGAGGCAACCAGCCAGAGGCATGGTTTATGTCGTCTGGTTTTAGACCTTCTGCCACAGTAATGGTTTCCTAATGTTTCTATTTTGCAATTCTCTAATCAAAAGAAAACCCAGGAAGATGTATCCATATAAATTGACATAAATTATCCAATCTAGGTGTCAGGCCTAGTGGCTGAAGATTTCACTTCAAATGCCAGAAGGATAAAAACATAGACTTTTGGATACAGACCTTCGTTATTGTACCATTGTCTCGTGTCACCCTTTGCCACTAAGGTCACCTCTGGTTTCTACTTGTTTTTATTCTGTATATAAGTTGATTAAGGCTACAAGCTTTTATAAGGAAGCTGAGCATCAGGTTCTCCATGTGTGATATTCGGTGGCCTTTATCTAATGTGGAGTCCCACAGGACTAAATAGAAGAATGGACAATTTCTTTAACCGTGAGATTGTCTAAGGGAAGATCCTTTCAAAACACTTTGGTTATCTTAAAATACTTTCCAGTCAGACTTCTCGTCAGTTATAGTTGATAAGTAAATGGCTCCTTTGTTCAATCAGGACTCTTAATTTCTGAAGGAACTTTATGTTTCAAATTAATTTTAAAGTTACCTGGAAGAAAATTTTTGTATTTAGATATAGATATAAAACATTCTGTCTTTGCTTTAACCTTTAACTAAATTAAATTTCTTAACCAAAGGAAAGTGCCACGTTGCATTTTTCATTCTAAAACTTCATTGTCTTAAGCCACATTGAGGTATAGTTTGTTAGGTAGTAGGAAAATGGCGTGTGCTGAGAAACAGTTGACTGAGTATAAATTTTTTTTTAATTGTGTAATTTTGATTCTCAACATACACTTCATTGTATCCTAGAATAGGAACAAAGTTTATTGTGACACAAACTGGTTGTCAACCTATTTTTTGAAGAGCTATAAACCTGAGTTTTTGCATACGTCAAGGTATGCATCTTAAGTGCTTGAGCTTGCTCTCATGGGAATATTATTTGTTAGAGTAACCAGTTTTGCAAACTCTAAATCAGTGTCCATTCCGTTAAGCTCTTTAGAGAATTACTCAATAAAATTTAACATTGAAGTGAACACAGTTGAAATATATTGGCTACTGTGGTGTGGATTATCTATAAATTTTGGAATAAATGACTTCTATTTTTTTTTTTTTTCCAGAATACTTTGCATTTAAAATTTAGATCTTCTTACATGGAAGAGGTCAAATCCAGTTATAGCAAAACACCTTTACTGCAGAGGCCATATAACCAAAAAGTCCAAAGGCCCAGCCCAGTGGACCATTTACTTCAATGATGTTCAGTACAAAATTTCACTGCCATTAAAGACTTTGGAAAGTCCCTTTTAAGTTGTAACAGGATTTGACTATTAGTGTGGATTTCGATAACCCTTCTTTAGTTCATGTAATAAATGCCCTTTGAAACTGGAAGTATACTGGTTTCTTGTACCCATATAGCTTTCTCTGGGCTTTTATGCAAAAGATTGTATTTTCTGAATGTCTTAATATGTTGCTGTCTTTTTACCTGCCTGGGGTTGCCTTCAGATGTGGTTGAGGACTTGTTTATACAAAAAGTCCTAGAAGACCTTAAGTTAAAATTAGCTCTCCAATTTTCAAGTATTTTCTTTTGGCAGAGTAAGTTTTGGGTCCTATGAGAGGTAAATAGGTTGGTTGCCTCTCTTGCTATAGCCCATCTATGAGCAGAACAAAAACTTTGTTTTTGAGGGGGATGGAGTTACTTTTTACCTTGTTCCCTAATGGATTATATTTAGGACTTCAGGTTTTAGAAATTTCACAGAATTCTATAGTTAGAATAGTGTCACAGAGATAGTGTTAGGTTTTTCAGGCAACAAAATTGGAGTGTTACCTGTTGCCCATCTGGGCGTGGCTTTGATGAGTTCTATATAAATAACGAGTGTAGCCTAATTTTCTGTCATGTGCTACCTAGCATATACATTTCTGACAGTCAGGTGGATTATCTTGAAATTTTAGACAAACTTTCTGCCTCCTTGGAAAGCTCTACATCTCCTTGTGATTGGAGTGTGGGTTTCAAGATTCCAGAAGGTGGGTGTCTTCATTTTCTATTTTCAATGCACTCTAAAGATGACCTGCTTACAGGTTCTCTGAGGCAGACCTCAGTTGCTCTTATGATACGTAACTTTGCTTTGAAAAGGAGTAAACAATTACATATCCAAATACAGAATTGTCAAAATGTTTAATCATTAAGCCACTACAAATTGACATTTTAGTGAAATAAATTGATTTTGAAATGTTTTTCAGTTTATATTGAAATATCTGAAGGCACCTCTAAAATTTGGGTGATGACACAGGTATAGATTAAAAGATTTAATTATGAATGGGTAGTATACTGTGAAGACTACAGAAGTGAACAGAAAGATATGACTGGTTGTTTTGGTTTTTAGTTTGAGATTTTAAAAAGATCTGTGAAGGTCAAGTTGATCATTGGTTTTGATTGCATCCCACAGGCTTCTATAAACTGGCTTAAAAATGGCATACTCCATTTTCTGGTATATTCGTTGTAACTTCAGGAAGTATTGAAATGGTCATATTCAAGTCTAGGAATGTCAAAATGTATTTTAATGTATTAGTTCTTTTTCTTTTTGTTTTTGGAGACAGTTTTGCTCTGTTGCCCAGGCTGGAGTACAGTGGTGTGATACCGGTTCGCTCCAACCTCTGCCTCCCAGGTTCAAGCAATTCTCTTGCCTCAGCCTACGCAGTAGCTGGGACTACAGGCCTATGCCACCACGACCCACTACTTTTTGCATTTTTTTAGTAGAGATGGGGTTTCACCATGTTGACCAGGCTGGTCTTGAACTCCTGACCTCAGGTGATCTCTACCTCAACCTCTCAAAGTGCTGAGATTACAGGTGTGAGCCACTGCACTTGGGTTTTTTTTGTTTTTTTGTTTTTTCAAATGGAGTTTTGCTCTTTTTTGCCCAGGCTGGAGTGCAATGGCGTGGTCTCAGCTCACTGCAACTTCCATCTCCTGGGTTCAAGCGATTCTCCTGCCTCAGCCTCCCAAGTAGCTGCGATTACCAGCATGTACCACCAGGCCCGGCTAATTTTTATATTTTTGGTTGAGAGGGGATTTCACCATGTTGGCTGGGCTGGTCTCAAACTCCTGACCTCAAGTGATCTGTCTGCCTTGGCCTCCCAAAGGGTTGGGATTACAAGTGTGAGCCACTGCACCGGCCTGCATTAATTCTTACTGTCCTTTGTCATTACGGTTTTGCCCATGAAAACCAAAATGTTGCTGTCTATGTGACCCTTTGAACGTATTAAATATTTCCATATGTAAATGGGGGCAAAATGGACTTAATGGTAAATTACTATACTTGATGAAAATTTTTATAAATGAACCAGTAGTAGTACTTAAATGTGAACATATTGTATTGTAAGTTTGTTTTATTAATGTATCTTGCGGATTACAGTAATGCTTGTGTTGGCCTTTTATATGACAAACTATATTTAAAGGTTCACATTTTGATTTGTATTGCCAGCAAGCCCTTTTCCTTGTTAAAGCTGTAGCTAACTCAGGAGATCATTGCAGTTCCTAGTCGTAGAGGATGGTGTCTTTCAAGTAATGTCTTGTCTCCTGATTTTCAGTAATGTTAATATAAGGCAAAAGGGATATTGTTTAACATACGTAGCAATTTTTTTTTTTTTGGACAGAGTCTTACTCTGTCGCCCAGGCTGGAGTGCAGTGGCAGAATCTTGGCTCATTGCAACCTCCGCCTCCCGGGTTCGAGCAGTTCTCCTGCCTTAGCCTCCCAGTTCTCCTGCCTTAGCCTCCCTAGTAGCTGGGACTCAGGCGCACGGTACCATGCCCGGCTAATTTTTATATTTTTGTTAGGGACAGAGTTTCACCACATTGGCCAGGCTGGTCTTCAGCTCCTGACCTTGTGATCCACCTGCCTTGGCCTACCAGGGTGCTGGGATTACAGATTTTTTTTTTTTTTTTTGTAGTGTAATTATGTAGCATTGTATCATAGTAAAACTAGCCAAAAAAATTTATGAAAGGATAAAAATATGATTCTGACCATAAAAGGTAGTATATTATGGTGGGTTCTTAAGCAAGCATGATAATGGCGAATTTGTTACTTCTCAGGAGGAAAAAAAGCAAGAGCAGAAGTCGTAGTCATGAACGAAAGAGAAGCAAAAGTAAGGAACGGAAGCGAAGTAGAGATAGAGAAAGGAAAAAGAGTAAAAGCCGTGAAAGAAAGCGAAGTAGAAGCAAAGAGAGACGACGGAGCCGCTCAAGAAGTCGAGATCGAAGATTTAGAGGCCGCTACAGAAGTCCTTAGTATGTAACTATAGTTACGATTTTGGTTTGAGGGTTATTCTCTGGGTATTCATATAGCAATTAACTTCAGTGATTTGAATTGTGAAATTTTTTTTAATGATTGGTTAAAAAGTATTGAATTAAGGATATTGGCATTGAATGCTAGTAAAGTGAAAAATACAGTGCATAGACAAGTAAAAATTTGTTTTTACTAGTCATACCAATTATTTTCTGTTAAACTACTATCAAAGTTTCTAAATTGTATGCCAATCAGCGCAAACTGGATAAAAGCACTAGAGTGCTTGAAAAGGATGACATTGTAGTGCCCAAATACTTGAGAAAGCTTAACAGTGTCTGGGCTGTTACAGTATTTGCTAAATACATATTTACTTAAAATTGTAGAGTTCTGATGAATACAAAGTTACACATGTATAGTTAACAGTAAGTAAAAAATCTTGTCACTGTGGCTGTTTTTAGCTGAAATGTCAGGCCAGTTGTGAATTTGTTGTGTATGCTCCTTGATAAAAATTCTTTTTTGGGCTCATCTGTATTTAAGGTTTGTTAATAGTAAAAGGTATTCTAAATTAAAAGTGTTTTGAAGATTAGGTCACTAGAAATTTGGATGTGGATATTTAAAGTTGGAAATAAATTTATTACAGTTATTAAATACATTAGTCAGCTACAATTCTAAGGATTGAATAGCAATCTTTAATGCTTTGTGAGGTTAATTCATCTTAATAAACACACTGCTGTAAACTCTGGGATATATTAAAAATAACCCTTCTAACTTTAAGATTTGAATGGTTAAGGATGGAATTCAAAGACAAACAGACTTGAATCACTTGGGCAAGGTACTTAACCCCCTAAGCTAAGCATTTGTTTTCTAACGTTTTAAGGAGATAACAAGTTTCAGATAAGCTATTAATGAGTAATGAATGAGAAGAAAATGAAAGTGCTCAGAGGACTTAACGGATTCATGAAATGTTTTGGCATTACATGAATTCTGATTCTGGCTCTTTTATCTTTAAAATAAAAAGAACTAAACTGCATGATGCTGGATTCCTCTAAGCTGCTTATTTCATTAACTTTTTAATAGCCGAAAATGGGACCACAATGCTATTTTAATTCTGAATGCTGTGCAGCATTAGGAAATTCTCTGCTTTTGTCCCGTTTATCAAGATTCTGAGCATTCTTAAAATGGGATTATGTTAAATCTTTTTACCTGGATGAACTAAATGAGGGAAAAGGAATTAGCTTAATTCCTTTTGAGTGATGAATACTTTCTGTTTGCTGGGATCCTGGCCTAACTTTAATAGAAAATTACTTAGTTCTTATGTTGGGTTTGAGGCTGTAACTGAGAATATTTTATAATTAAAGGGGAAAGAAAATAGCTTATAACTGATTACTTGAGAACTTTAATACATCCAGTAAATGATTCTCAGTCATCACCATTAGTCTGAATTGCAAAGGACCAATTTAATATAAAGTGTTTTATTTGGAAATACTTGCATGTTGTAGGTAGGCATAGTGTTCATGAAAACTATTTCAAATGTGTGGATCACAGGCCACTACATATTTATTTATTTCGCTGTTCTTCTGGAATAAGATAGCAGGATGAGCACTAAGGGACAACTGGCTAGTCCCTTTAAGTTAGCCTGGTCTTTAAAGAGTCACAAAAACTGTTATTACAGAATAATTACCTTTGTAATCTTTTTGAAAACACTCTGTTAGTCATGACAAGTCCTCAAAATTTTTCAATAGAATTCGTAAATTACCTTCAGATCTTCACGATGGAATATTTTGCAACAAGCAACTGAAGTATAGTGTGTTAAATGGTGTCATGCTGTCTAAGAGTTACTGATGAATGGGAGAATACCTAAGTTGCATGACTAAAGAATTCACTTTAGTTTTTAAAAGCCTTTCAAAAAGAAGACTTGTATGAAAATTGTGTATATACATGTACACACATACATTCCCAGGAGAGGATACACACCAAATTGTTAACCATAGTTACTACTGGTGTGAGGAAAGTTCAGAGGGATTTATTTTTTATATGTGTGTGTGTTTTTTGTTTTTTTTAAATTCTCAAGACTGTATATATATATATATATATAGCTTACAAAGATATCTGTAGTCTGAAAATGGGTGTGTTCATTTTCAGAATCTAAAAATTTTGAGGCTGTAACCTTTGGTCTTGGCACCTCTCAGTGGTCCAGGATGGATAAATACAAGGGCAGCTTGCCTGGGATAAAGTTAAGAGACATCTAAGTATTTTTGTTTCCTCTTCATAACTGAGGTGGAAAAGCAGCAGCCTAAACAATGTTAGTCTTGCTGGAGAGCGCATGAATGCGATCTTAGCAAGACCCTAAACCTGTAACTAGTGTAATTTTGTGTTTCCTTTTTAGCTCCGGACCAAAATTTAACAGTGCCATCCGAGGAAAGATTGGGTTGCCTCATAGCATCAAATTAAGGTTTTTAAACATACTTCTGAATTGTTTAAATTGTTTTTCAAGGAACTAACGTGCTGTACTTGTTTGGATAACTTCTGAAACTTTTTAACTTTGCAGTAGACGACGTTCCCGAAGCAAAAGTCCATTCAGAAAAGACAAGAGCCCTGTGAGGTAGTTTTCTTCTTTAAAGCCTTTAGCTCTTAAAAAGCTTTTGCAGCTTATGGTACTGTTAACTTTGATGACATTTAGTAATTTGGACCATATTAAATCTTGCTTTTGCTTCCTTTTACAGTTCTAGTACTTTAAAGTCAATTGAATTTCTACTGAGTTTTCAGTAGTGTTCACTTTAATTTCATATAATTAAAAAGAAGCAAAAGTTATTTATTTATTTATTTATTTATTTATTTATTTATTTACTTATTTTGAGACAAGAGTCTCACTCAGTCACCCAGACTGGAGTGCAGTAGTGCAATCTTGGCTTACGGCAACCTCTGCCTCCTGGGTTCAAGTGATTCTCCTGCCTCAGCCTACCAAGTGTACCTGGGATTATACAGGCATGTGCCACCATGCCCGGCAAATTTTTGTGTTTTTAGTAGAGACAGGGTTTCACCATGTTGGTCAGGCTAGTGTTGAACACCTGACCTCATGATCTGCCTGCCTCAGCCTCCCAAAGTGCTGGGATTACAAGTAGGAGCCACCACGTCCAACCTAAAGTTATTTTAATGTGATCTTATTTTCCTATTTTAATTAAAATAAGCTTTTTTTGCATTTCTTATTTTTAATGGACATATGATTGTGTATATTTATGGGATACAGTTATGTTTTGATACATGTATGCAGTGTAATGATCAAATCTGGGTAATTAGCATATTCGTGTCATACATTTCTTTGTGTTGGCAACGTAGCAGTTACAGAAAACTTTACACTTACTTATCTTTGATATTAATAAATAATAAGTTATTTGAAATACCTCATGTGGAGAAGTAGTTGTAACACTAAGTTTTACTGTTTGGCTGTCCTGAGGAAAACTGTTTCATCTCAAAAGTCTTAGTGATTTGAATTGTTACTCCTAGGTTCTTAAATGTTTACATGGATTATTTTACTCTTTAAAAATAAGAATTGTAGGCTGAGCGTGGTGGCTCACGCCTGTAATCCCAGCCCTTTGGGAGGCTGAGGTGGGTGGATCACACGGGGTCAGGAGATCGAGACCAGTCTGGCCAACATGGTGAAATCCTGTCTCTACTAAAAATACAAAATTTAGCTGGGCATGGTGGTGCACACCTGTAGTCCCAGCTACTTGGGATGCTGAAGCGAGAGAATCACTTGAACCTGGGAGGCGAAGGTGCAGTGAACTGAGATCGCGCCATTGCACTCTAGCCTGGTGACAGAGCGAGACTTGTATTTGTTCAGTCTGCCATTTTGGTTCAAGGAATATTTTGTCAGGTGGTAGCATTGTAGTTTGTTCTTTTTTGAGACGCCCGGCCAAAAAACTTTTGCTTTTTTTTTTTTGAGGCGGGATTTCACTTTGTCACCCAGGCTAGAGTGCAGTGACGAAATCATGGCTCACTGCAGTTTCTAACGGCCGGTCATAAGCTATCCCACCCAACTTAGCCCTCCGAGTAGCTGGGACTATACAGGTGCAGCCACCATGCCTGCTATTTCCTTTTTTTTTTTTTTTTTTTTTTTTTTTGAAGAGACAAGGTTTGCCAGGTTCAGATTTTCCCCGAAAATCCAGGGCCCAAGCAATTCTCACACCACCCCGCCTTAAAAGCCCCTTGGCCGGCGGGTGGCTCACACCTGAGCAATAAGGGCAGGATATCGAAACCAGCCTGAAACGAAACATGGTGAAACCCCATCTCTAACGAAAAGTACAAAAAACCCAGAGGGTGGGGTGCGTGCTGAACCAGTAGCTCGGGAGGAGAGGCAGGAGAATGCTGAACCAGGGAGCAGGAGTTGCAATGGAAGCCAAGATCCACACCCTACACTCACAGGCCCGGGTGACAGGAGTGAACCGCCGCGCTCAAAAGCTTTTTGGACAAATCTTAACAGTGAATGACCACCCCCTCACCTCCATTAATCCTGAGAGTGCCAAAAAATGGAAAAGACAGGTGAGGCCCCTGGGCGCGTGGCTTCAAAGCCTGTAATCCCCAGCCACTTTTGGAGGCCGAGACGGGGATCAATAGGTCAGGAGAGACTGAGACCTCATCCGGCAACAGTGAAACCTCCCTCCTCTGACTGCCAAAAAAATACAAAAAAACTAGCGGGTGAACGCGGGTGCCCCTTTAGTCCGCAAGGCTAAGCCCCGGGGAAGCCGAGGCAAGGAAGAAATGGCCAGTGGACCCGGGAGGCCGGAGCTGCAGTGAGCTGAGAATCCGGCCCTGCACCCACCCGGGAGAACAGAGCGAGACATTCTCAAAAAAAAAAAAAAAAAAAAAAAAAAAAAAAAGGAGCCAGAGGCTACATCTAAAGATTGACTAAAATATAATTGAGATTTTGCAACAGAGATATGTTAATAGACACTTGTATCGGAATTTGTAAAATAAGAATTCTTTAGAATCATGAGGGTTTCACTTTGTTGGCCATTTGTGATTGTCAAAACTAATTCCAACTTTACAATTACATGGTTTTGTGTGAAATAATTCATCCATAACACTGATTTTTGGATCAGTCTGCTTTTGTGATTGGCTGGTATATGTTTAAGACGGGTAAACTGCAGGCTTCGGTTGACCCTTGCTTTAGAAAATTAACCCCTTGTGGGCCAGGCGTGCTTGCAGCCTGCAACCCAGTAACTGTTGGGAAGGGTCTGAGTGGGGAGTATCAAGGGTTCAGGGAGAATCGAGACGCATCCCAAAGCGAACACAGTGAAACCTATCTCTACTAAAAATACAGAAGATTAGCCAGGCTTGGTGGCACATGCCTGTAGTGCCAGCTACTTAGGAGTCTGAGGCAGGAGAATTGCTCGAACCCTGGAGGTAGAAGTTGCAGTTAGCCGAGATTGCGCCACTGCACTCCAGCCTGGGCGACAGTGAGACTCCATTTCAAAAAGAAAAAAAGAAAAGAAAAATTTTACCCTTTGTGAGATTGTAAGGCCAGTAGACTTCTGTACTAACTAATTCCATGTAAGATGTGATTACAAGAAACAGTAAACCTTATTCTTTAGAAGGATTTGAGTTACATTGAGTAGCTTTATGGACGTTTTTGGTCAATAGATCTTACTGCAAATGGGCTTGGGCTGACTGGGTGCGGTGCCTCACAGCTGGAATCCCAGCACTTTGCGAGGCCTTGGCAGGTGGATTTTCTAAGGTCAGGAGTTCGAAACCAGCCTGACGAACATGGTGAAACCCCATCTCTACTAAAAGTACAAAAATTAGCCAGATGTGGTGGTGCGTGCCTGTAATCCCAGTTAC